CGTTGCCCAATCTGTCTCCCCAGATCTGGCCGACACTTTCACACCAACCCCTCCAACGGCATTGCACTCCCCCTGGGATGCAGACCCCTCTCCAGCCTGCCCCCCACCATGCCACGCCAGGGCCGGCAGCTGCCACATAGATCTGTACACGTCCTTGCTCTCGTGCAGATCCCAAAGCACCCGATTGCCCAGCTTCCCCTTATAAGTGCGTGCCCCATCCGTGTTGGTGTTCACCCCAGCCTTGCCAAGCTTACGGAGGGAGATAAGGTTGGCCTTCAGGTCGGGGACGAAGAGAACGTCGTGCAGCACCACCGGCTTGCCATCCGCTCCCTTAAACGCAGCTCGTCCCGCACCAGCCACCTTCAACATGTGTCCAGAGGCGGAGCACACTTCATTGATCGGTGCAGCTCGTACTTCGTCCAGCAGGTCCTTGCGCGGCGTCATCGTCCAAGCAGCGCCTGTGTCCAACACCCAATAGTCTAGGGGGTGCAGCTCTGCTCCAACTTTGGCAGAGGCGTCTCCTTGCTCCCCCTTGTCTCCTACATGGAAGAATTGGCCCGCGGTGCGCTCCTTCTTCTTCTCCGCACCGCCGTTGCCCTTCGGGTTGTTGTCGGACGAATCAGCGACCATGTTGGCGCCGTTTTTCTGGTTCCTCCGCGCGCCGCCATCCTGGTGACGATTCTGGGGGGTCCATCCATCGGGTTTCTTATAGCACAAAAACCAGGGGTGCCCTTCCTTCTCACAATACCAGCAACTCCCTTTCATTTTGCCACCAGCACCCGACTTGCCCCCACGTCCAGATTTCGCACCGCGACCCCAACCGGTACCTCCTTGTTGGTCGTTGGAGTCGTCGTCTTTCTTTGCACCGCGTCCAGCACCACCGAAGCCACGTCCTCTGCCACGTCGGCTCCCTTGCATCCCGTAGCCGCTGCTGCCGTCGTCTCCACCCCTCAGTTGGCGGCGACGGAAGTCCTCCTCCAGAATCTTCGTCCGCACCCACTCGAGCGTCCACAAGCTCTGGTTCTGCGGCAGGCTCAATCCGCTAGTAAATTGAAGCCACGATTCTGGCAGCAGCGAGAGCATCTTCAAGCACTTGGTCTGCTCCGGGTAGGTGATTCCCGTGGTCGCCAACTTCGCGTAGAGGTCGCGCATCTTGTCCAGGACTGGTTGCACCGGCTCTCCCTCGCTCAGGCGCAACGCGGACAGCTCCCTCTCCAGCATCAACGTTGCGACAACGGAGGTCGGGGCGTGCAGCTCCTTCAACACGGTCCACGCCTTCGGACCGCATTCAACCTCCGGCAGCAGGTGCATGACGTGGTGACGCTGGTTCAGCTCCAAACTCTGCGACATCAAATAGTAGCCAGCCGAGGAGCGCTCGTCCCAATCTTCCTGCAGCGTGGGGTCACTCGGTCTAGGCTCCTCCCCAATCATTAGTTTCAGCAAACCGATCTGACGGAAATATAATTGCATTTTCCAGGCCCAATCATCATAGCCCTCACCATTGAACTTCTCGACGGTGAAATTCTTCAGCACCTCCTTGACAAGCGAGCCCTGGTTTGTTCGCGCTCCCCTTGGCGCTGAAAGACCAGAATCTTGGCTGCCGCTACGATCTTGGGCTGAAGATTCACCAGCTCCCGCCGAGGTGTTGCCCGCCATAGCTACCTATAACGAGGATCACTATAACGCAGCTCTGATACCAGCTTGTTGGTGTAAGGGCCTAATAAACTCAAGCTATTAGGACTTAATCAAACTTAAAACCTCTCCTCGGGGTCACCTCCAAGGGTCCCTGGGTGCCTGGTACAAGACCAGCCCCTATCCTCGGGTCCGAGTTTGTAGAGAGAGGGATCAAGAAGGACTTAGTCAAAACAGCAAGAGTACCTTGAACGTCGCGCAGCGTGCCGTGCAGACCGTCGATCGGATTAAGCTGAGAATTCGCTATATCGAAGCTCGCTCTGTAAGTTGCCTCGCGAAAAGTTCTGCCATTACTAAGTTCTGGCTCGGACAGCGTTTGCCTAGCGTTGGAGTGCTAGCATACTAGCGTTGACTCGGGTAGCATTCCGCCGTCGAATAGTGCAGAAACGAAATTCCAGCGAGGAAGGAATTCGCTTGAATCAATTTGACTATATTCAGGTACAAACAGAGAAGGATTAAATAGTTCTAGCTAGCAAGGACCTTGGGAATCAACCTGGGAACAACCAGGGATGATCCCAAATAATTCCAAGCAACAGAACCAACCTGGCTGGACAAAATAGCAGGTGGTAGGTTGGTAAACAACCTCTGGTTCTGTTTTTTCAACCTGGGAAAACAACAACCAGGTTCAGGTTCTAAAAACAGAACCTGTTTTGTCTTTGCCTAACCAGCCAAATGCTGGTTCCGCTGGTTTCCCCTGGCCTTGTAGCATGCAGATACAGACAAACAACATCCAACCTTCACCTAAATTGTACCCCTATAGTGCCTTCCCTGCTACACTATAGTTAACCAAACAAAACAGTACAATTTCGAGTTGGATAGAACTGAATCTGCGCAATCAACTCAACCGAACTGCAAAGCTTCCATCTTGGGTTCCTTTGCGAGCTCGTCCTTTCTGCTTGCACTGTTCATAGCGCGTACAATGTTGTGCCGAAGCGTACATTGCGCGAGTACCTGCAAATGCATCAAGCGAAAATTGCGAAAGCAAACAAACACACGAACATTCCATTCACACCCAAATGCATTCGCGCACGCATACTCGTACAAACAGACGGCAGGATGTCGTGCAATGTAAATTTGCACCCAACACCTTCCCTGCTACACTATAGTTAACCAAACAAAACAGTACAATTCCGAGTTGGATAGAACTGAATCTGCGCAATCAACTCAACCGAACTGCAAAGCTTCCATCTTGGGTTCCTTTGCGAGCTCGTCCTTCCTGCTTGCACTGTTCATAGCGCATACAATGTTGTGCCAAAGCGCACATTGCGCGAGTACCTGCAAATGCATCAAGCAAAAAATGCGAAAGCAAACAAACACACGAACACACCATTCACACGCAAATGCATTCGCACACGCATACTCGTACAAACAGACGGCAGGATGTCGTGCAATGTGCATTTGCACCCAACAAGCCCGACTTAAAACCCGAAGCCTGAATCACAAAAACTGAGTCAACCCTTGGTTTGGGAGGTATGTGGTTCAGGCAAAATGAGGTGCGGAGGAATTGCGAAAGTTGGTAGGTTAGCGAAATATGATGCGACTCTCCCAGGACACAAACAGTTCACACGCAACCCGCTTACCAACCTCCGAGAGCTGGAGCAGAGTAAGAAAATCGGTGTGACAGAACAAGCTAACCACTCATTTTGTCCCTTTTAGAATCCGACCATCGCACATTAGCTACTGATTTGTAGAGAACACATTTCTCACAACCAGAATTAGTAGCTGTAGCGCATATACCCAATCGAAGGTAAACGCTGGAACAAGATGCGAATGTGAAGCACGGAGAATATGGTCCTAAGGAGATAGTAATTAGCGCGGACACCTACCTCGCGACCCTCGCCTGTCTCCCTTGCTTTCTCCGCCCACCGCCCTCTCCCCGCCCGTCGCCCTCGCCGCCTCCCCACCCGTCGCCCTCGCCGCCTCCCCACCCGTCGCCCTCGCTTCCTCCGCCCTTCAGCCTCGCTTTCCCCCGCCCGTCGTGTTCGCTTCCCCCGCCCGTCGCCCTCGCTCCCCCTCCCCATCGCTCGCCCGGTCGACCTCTCCTCTCCCACCTGTCGCTGCGACGACGTCGTTATCATTCCCGCCGCCCACTCTTCGTCGACCTTACATCTTATTCGCCCTCTCTTCCTCCCCCTGTCGCCCATGCCCATTCCTGCTTTTTTGCGCCATGCCTTGGTTTTCCACCCGCCCTAGTTCCCCCCCCTAATTGCGCCCAGTTTCCCCCCTGATTGCGCTCATATTCCTCCCCTGCAGTACGCTCAGGTTCCCCCCCTGATTGCGCTCAGTTTTCCCCCCTGATTGCGCTCAGCTTTCTTTTGATCCCTCCCTCCTCTCTCTCCCGCATGTCCCCCCTCCCAAATCCCCACAATGTGCTCTTGATTTCCCGCCTTGCGTGCCCTTATTTTCACCTACTGCTTCCTCTCCTTCCGGCCCCTGCTTCCACTCTTTTTCTTACCCGCTTCCACTCGTTTGCCCCCTCATTACCCTCTTTTCCCACCCTTTTTCCTGCTTATTTTTCCCCCTGGTTCCCCTGTTCCCCCCCCTCCCCCGCCCCCGGTTCCCATGCTTCCCAGACCTGCTTGCCTTCCACGCAGTTTAGGCCAGCATCCTTCCCGCCTACTCTCTTCTCCCGACTGTCCTATCTCCCCCCTGTCCTCCTATCTCCCCCCTGTCCTCCTATCTCCCGCTGTCCTCCTATCTCCCCATGTCATGGCACTACATGTAGAGTTGTTGCTTGCCACCATTGCTGTATGCATCTGCTGCTCTCTGAAAGATTTTTTTTACTCATGCTGCTTCACCTCAAATCGATCACAAGCCCAACAGATCCCCTCCTCTCCCTGTCCTTCCCTTACGTCTTGGCATATGGTGGTGTGCTACGGCTGCTGCAGCAACCATCACATGCTAGTGCACGACAGTTTTGTGCCAACCTGCACAAGTGCTTCCCCATGCACCTCCCAGAAGAATTCCACCAACTCGGCATCAACCACCCCACGCCTCCCCTTACCACTCCCATTAAATCGTCACCCTCTGCGAGCAGTCAGCGCATCGTCCTCCCTGCTGCTGGTACTGCCGCACGTGTGGACAAGTGTGAGCGGCTACTGCAGGCGCTGCCCACACGGTGCAGCAGGACGAGGTAATGCTCTCACATGGGGCGGGGCGAGGGGCCGCAGGGACAATGAAGAGCGGAGGAGAGCGACGGAAGGAGCGTGCGACTGGAGCTGGTCATTATGATGGTAGTTTGGATGGGTCAGGATGGGGATAAAGAAGGCGGATTGTGGTGCGCCTGGGAAGAAGGAGGACAGCAGTAAATGATGAGGAGTAGGAGTAGGAGGAGGAGGAGGAGGAGGAGGAGGAAGAGGAGGAGGAGGAGGAGGAGGAGGAGGAGGAGGAGGAGGAGGAGGAGGAGGAGGAGGAGGATGAGGAGGAGGAGGAGGAGGAGGAGGACGAGGAAGACGAGGGAGGAGGAGGAGGAGGAGGAGGAGGAGGAGGAGGAGGAGGAGGAGGAGGAGGAGGAGGAGGAGGAGGAGACGCTCTGCTGGAGGAGGAGGAGACGCTCTGCTGCATGCTCAGTGTTGCGGCATAGGATGCGGTTCCACTCAGGAGGGTGCTTGCACAACCATGGTGAGTTTACGAAGTATTTACTCGCTTCCAGCCCACAATACGTACCAGCCTTGCAAGAGAGGCTATGGACATTGAGGGGGGTCGGCAGGAGAGAGGGCTGAAGTGAATGCACGCATTCGCATTACATTCCTTCACAAACACAAGAGCAGAACGCATTGGTGCAGGAGCATCGCATGCAGGCAGCAAGCCCCCCTCCCCCCTGGCCGTAACCCGAAGCACATGGGCGGGTAGAGTGTAACAATGAAAAGTGTCAGCTCCACCCCGTACCAAAACTTCCTCAGTGCCGCACTGGGCTCCGTGAGAACCTTTCGGACTACGCCATCACGGCCTTTCGATCCCGCCATGCCATGCATGCAGTCATGGTATAAATTTCCGTGAACATACCTGCGCGCCTGCTGGCCACTGTGGAACGAATCATTGGCAGCAACATTGCCTTCCTGCACTCTCTCATGCTTGCACCTGCATCCATCCCTGCCACCTCCCCCCGTACTGACGCGCCCTCCACTTCCACCGACCCATCCCTCGGCGTAGTGCGCTGGAACATATGAAGCTCCCCACACCCCAAACAGCACGCAAGGCGTTCGAGCCCGAGGAGGCGATGGCGAGCAGCAGTGAGGGCGCGCCTAGATGCCACTCCAGGAGCCGCGGGTGTCGAGCGCGGGCATGAAGATGTCGAGGGGGCGCAGGCCGTAGATCGCAGCGGTGCGAGAGAAGCCCGAGGCGGGGATGATGGAGTGGCACGCCGCTATCAGCGCCCACTCCGCCACCGTCTCCCAGAAGTGCTACAACTCTCGCAGCGCGGTATCACGCTCCTTGGACGTGGCGAGGTCGATAGAGTGTTCCGAGTGCCAGGGGACAAATTCCGTTGTCACCACCTACCCTCACCCAAGCCACACTCACACATAAGCGCCCCGTAGCGCCACGTGTCACACATGCACGCAAGCACACGTATAGGAGGAAGGTGCGACACATGCAGGGAATGGGGTGTGCGGTAGGGCAAGAGGGAGCTAGAATGAGTGTGATGAATGGAAAGAAGCACAGGCGGAGGGTGAAGGGGATGGAGGGAAACGGCAAGGCAGATGGAGTGATTGGTGGGGAGGGGGTGTGAAGCATTGAGCGAGTGTGAGTTGGTGATAATAATCCACCTTACTTTCAGGGGAGGGGGGTACCAGAAATTCTCCACCGCCTGCCATGAGGATGGGTAGAGAGAAGCAGGGGGCCAACACAGTGACACCCTCAGTGGCAGACACATATAGAAAAAGTGGCGAATACAGTGGCAGACACCCTCAGGTATGCATATGCCTGAAAACCCACCACTGCCACCTCCTGCCCCCTACCCCATGTGCACCCACCCATGCGTAATGTGGCAACGCACAGGATAGAATTTTGTCCGGGCAACAGGACACCCAACCCCCGTGGCACAGCACATGCAAGCACATGCACGTGCACTGCGCAGCACATGTGCGCACTGCAGTGTGCCATTGGCTGTGGCCAGCAGCTGCTGCGTCATGTTCAGCGGCGTGCCCTTGCCCTCCCACACCTCGCGGTCCGGCACACGCACGTGCACGGCCACGTGCACCACGCCCTCGCCCAACACCAGCTCCTCCAACCCTGCCACCAGCTGCCACACCTCGGGCCGCGGACTGGGGGAGAAGGAAGAGGTGGCAAATGGATAGCAGTGCGTTGACGGAGACTCACAGTATCCATATTCTACCATGCAGAATCGCTTGTGCCGTGGGGCGCATGGCACAGCCTGCGCGCGGACTTACACGCAACGTTCTGACCCAGTGGTCTGGTGGGCATTACAATGCAGATGAGTGTGCGGGGTGGGGCATGTGAGGCGGACCTGAAGAGGAACTGGAGGATGCACCCGAATCCGTTCGCCACCTTAAACCCCAGCTGCCGCAGGGCAATGGCGCACGGCCCCTGGTCGAGCATGATCGTGAAGATGAACAGCCCTTTGTTGTAGCGCACCAACAACCGATCACAAGGCGGCGTGCATGCAGGGCTGCGCGATGAGCAACATGCGGCGGTCCAGCAGCGCGGCGGGGAAGATGGACACGAGCCCGATCAGGTAGTCGCCCAGACCGTCGCACGTGCCCTACCAGTACCGCACCGCACCGCACCGCACCAGGAACCGCACCGCGGGCGCCGCCTCGCTGGGAGGAGAGTTGTCCGCCGAGCGCCTGCGCGACGGCGCAGCGCTTCCCAAAAATGTTCACTCCTGTGCTATGTACTTATAGGTTCTGCTACAATCAAATTACTCTTTAGAGGTCCGTATCTACAATATAGTAGGACCTATAAGTACTTAGTACGGGGGGCACACAAATTCGTAATGCGGGCTGTGGCGTGGCGGGGCAGCTGCAGAGGAGGAACGAGGAGCAAAGGTCGGACAGTGCACTTGTACACTCGCAACCGCTCCCGCCTGAACTCTGTGTTTCCTGTTCGTGCAACCTTGCGCAACTTGAAATGATTACACTTACCCACTCAAAACTGCATCATTACACCCTCCGCCCGGCGTCCGAAGCTATTGGTAGTACCTAGCGGCTATAGCGCGCTCCACGCGTCCCTGCTGGCGTCTCTGATGCGCACGTGTAGGCGCACGCACTCGTCGCGCCATGGAGCCCCGCACACGTGCTCCGGGTACTCAAACCCCGCCAACATCGACCACGGGTGCGTCGCCTGCTGCGTGCTGCACGCCTGCGCGCGGAAAGTGCAGGAGATGGAGGGGCATCGGTGGCCGGGGAGTAGTGACTGAGAGGAAAAGGAACGAGCGGCGTTGTGAAAATGCGACGTCGCTTGGGATAGCGGCTATTGCTTGCGGTTTATTGTTCGAGTGTTTGACTCTGACCGTGAAGCTGCCGGCCAGCGGGCTTCAGCCATGTGTTGACTGTTTTGAGTTCGACAACTGCTGTCCATTGTCACGAAGAAAACGGTTCATCATATTTGCACCTTATTTTGGTTTTGGGGAGTTGAACCAATCTCAGACTGAACATTGTTTGTTTTGGACAAGAATTGACAAATCAAGGCTGCGGCAGGCACTTCAACTCTGATGCGTATGAGCCTCAGGCTGATGCGGGCATTGATAAATTAAGGTTCGAAATTGAGAAATTGAGGTTCGGACGAGGCTTGGAAAATAGAAAATTGTAGATCTCGAATTTGGACATGCCATACCTCAATCTCCAATTTCCTCAAATTCCACCATGCTGAAGGTTTCTTGGAAGTCAGGGTGCTGCTGAATTTCGGGTTGGCCAATCGGAGTGGCCAATGAGGCTGTAGCGCAACACTGGTGCGCGCATGATTCGACTTTTCGAAATTGAATGATGCGCACATCAATGATGCGCCCGATTGCTAGGAGAGGTAGCTTCTTGGAATGCGGTCACATTACAAATTTCGTCGGCCAAAAAGGCCGTTCTCAGGCATTCTGTTTGTTTTGCTTCAGTAGCCATGCACTTATCACGAACCTTAATGACCTGTCAGCAAGATATTATGGAAGGATCCTGGAATCATGGTAGAACACATCAATGTACATTGATGTACATTTATGCGGGCTGATGCGCCTGCAGAACGCAGCCCAAAGGCGTAAATTGGACGGGAATTGGGAACGTGTCACGTCGAGAATTCGGTCTTTCCCGACAGAAAACGTTGCGGTATGATACAGGCCGAGGACGCGTTACATGTGAAATAAACTATAATGAATATACAATTCATTACCGCAAAGGCTGCTCCCAGCAATGACAGCCTGGGCACTTCGCGTCAGACGATCTCACCGCGGGCCAATAGCCGTGAAACGTGGCGGCAAGAGCGGCCACCAGAGGCCGCGGGCAAGGCCGAGGCAGGGGCGGGCGTGTGGGTGAGCTGGTGAGAGCGGTGGCAAGGGAGAGGGCCAGATCTGGAAACTGGCTTGAAAGACACGGGAGGCCAGAGGAAACTGGGGAAGAACCAATAAATGCATCGGCAGAGGTGTAGGGGTCAGACTATATGGAGGACAAGATGAGGAGTCTGAGGACGTCTCGGTCGAGGTAGAGGAGGGGGTCCCCACAAATGGGGAAGGGGGTCAGTGACGTGGATGCGGACATGGACGGGACGATAGGGAGGCAAACGCACAGGTGGGCAAATCAGAGGCCCAGGGGGCCAACGAGGTTGCCAGCAAGAAGAAGGCACCCCTGAAAATTGCAGAGGAGAAGGACGCATAGCAAAAGGTTCAGACTGGGATCTGGAACCACTCCGCGCCAACGCCCAGCCGTTCCTGTATGGAGGCTCCCGCCAGATATCCTCAAATTGTTCAGCCACTGCATTACCGTACCAATCCTGTGACTCTCGAAACATCCAAACAGCCTCGGCGCGTGGCGAATATTACGGGCGAGCATGGAGACAGCTCCGGGAAAACAGATGGCAAGCGGTCGAGGCTCGGTTTCGACAATTCTGAGAAGAGGACCGGGACACACTTTACACCCAACCTAGCACCTTACCCCCAGATTCAAAACCTGACAGGCACAAACCTAACCCTGATTGCATCTGCGCCAGAGCAGAAGGGTTGGTATGGAAAGCCAACTTGGCAAAGGCTACAGCGGCGTTACGCACTTCTCCGCTGGCCGAGCCGTCGCAAACTACCCTAGAAGCTCTTCGCTCTAAACATCCAAGTTCAGAGTTGGCGACATCGGAGGGTCTCACAGGTTACGCAACATCCAAGCTCGCCATCAGTGCTGAGTCATTTAGCGAAGTATTGGCGAAATGCCCAACGGGATAGGAGCAGGGCTATCAGGGATGTGTTTCGAGCACTTATGCGACCCTGCTTTAACCAACTGGGAGGTTTTCGCTGTTGGTGTAAGGGCCTAATAAACTCAAGCTATTAAGACTTAATCAAACTTAAAACCTCTCCTCGGGGTCACCTCCAAGGGTCCCTGGGTGCCTGGTACAAGACCAGCCCCTATCCTCGGGTCCGAGTTTGTAGAGAGAGGGATCAAGAAGGACTTAGTCAAAACAGCAAGAGTACCTTGAACGTCGCGCAGCGTGCCATGCAGACCGTCGGTCGGATTAAGCTGAGAATTCGCTATATCGAAGCTCGCTCCAAGAGCTCTAAAATGAGCCAAGTTGCCTCGCGAA